TCTCCTCTCCTCGGACTCCAGTAAAAAGTTGATACTCACCTGCCCTGAGAACTTTCTGCTCAGCTTACTCTTCTGCTTAGTGCAGAACAGGGTCACCATGGTAGACAGGCTGTGCTGGCTGAGCCTGGGGAGGGCAGCGAGCCTTCCACACACAGCAGCATCATGCGACCCCATACAGACATCAGCATCAAGCCTTCCAGAGCCTGGGTTTCTTTCTCCAGGACACACAGCACTGGGTGTATCAGTGCAGGGCCCACACACTCACCTGAGTGTCATTCTGACCGCCTCCTTCCTTCCTTCAGGACCGTCCTTGTGTTTTCTTTTGGGTAGAAGGGTCTCAGGGGACAGATAAAGCATAAGTATCCATGGGGGGTGGGGGTGGTATTGGGGTTGTTTTCCGTGGGTGTCCAACCCTTTTCAGAGGGTCCAAGTGACTTGCTGATATAGCCCCTATAGATGGGGAAGCTGGGAACACAGAACCTTTTCAGCTCCTGCGGGCCACTCAGAAGGACCCTTCTTCCTGCTGCCTGTTTAGGAGGTTGCAACTTGAGCCTGATCCAGGAGCCAGACATGTGGCAGAGCAGTACAGGTCTGGTTCCTCTGCTGGGAGCAGTGACAGAGGAGGGGTCTGACCCAGGTCTGGGTACCAGACTGTGCGGTTGAGCGGGGCTAGCTGGGGATCTGGAGAGAGATGGCAAGCAAAACCCTAGAAGCTACAGTCTGCAGCATAGAGCCCTGTGATTTGCAGCAAAAGCCACCAAACAGGAGGAGTCAGGAGGAGCAAGTCCAGCCCCTGGGATGCATCTCCGCACTGGCTGAAGGACTCTGGCTCAGCTGCTTCCCCAGAAGTCACCCCTGGTCCTGACAGCACCACGTGTCTGGACAATGGAAAGCTGAATTGCTTTTGGTTCTCAAAACCAGTGGAGCAAAGCACGATGGGTCTCACCTGTAACTCCAACACTTGGAAGGCTGAGGCAGGAGGACTGCTGTGAATTCAAGGACAGCCTGGACTGCAGGACAGAGTGGCATGCTGACACCCAGACTAGGTGCTCATCCTGGTGGGCTATTATTAGCACAAGTCTTTGGGACCTTCCTGAACATCAAGCTGGACGCTTGCTCTCCAATCTGCCAGGCTCTGCTAAGGACAGGGAGGCGCTTCACTCTGCGTAGACACCTGATCTCATGGGATGAACTAACATGAAACTGCTTCAGCATCAGGGCGCACTTCGCGAATCCTGGGCCTCCTGACACCTGAGGAAGGTCTCCTTGACAAAGTGAGCTCAGAACTCAGGGCCGGCCTCTTGCTCATGTTTCTTCCCCGTGGCAGAAAATGGCACTAATGGTTGTGGGTGCATCCTACATGGCTCCCAGCACAATGGGCAAAATCTCCGAGGAAGACTGGCAGGTGAGGTCTATCTAAGCCAACTGTCTGCTTTGGACGGATCCATCTGGTCAGGATTCCAGGTCTGGGCAAGTTGACCAGGATGGCATGTGCTGAAGGCCCTAGGGAAGGGGGGCAGAGTGAAGCAGGCAAGCTAAGCCTCCCCTACACCTGACAGAGGTGGGTCCCATCTCTGGAACACAATCACCAAAATTCCCCCAATCAAGAAGGCACCATCCTCCAGTTCACTTGAACAGACATTTATTGAGCACCTACCAAGTGCAAGGCACTGTTAGGTGCCACAAGAGATACAGAGTGACCATAGGGTCCCTGCCCGCGAGGAGCTCATAGTCTAGAGGGAGGCAACACAGTACACAGTTGGCTGCAGCTACACCTGCTGGAGAGGCAAGAGCCAGAAGCGAGACACCAAGTGCTGTGGGGGTCACAGAATACCACAGGGCTGCTTCTGTTCAGGGCACAAGACTCAGGGCTGGGCCTTTGAGGAGGAGGGCTGTAGGGCAGAGGGCCATTTCTAGAAGAGAAATAAGCACGGATAGGGCCCCTGGGAACCCAGATCTGGGTGGCGGGTGAGCATCGTGGCAGGGATAGACAGTGGATAGTGAAGTACGGCCATGGGGCAACAGCCATGGGCGCTCAGCTCAGAGGACAGGAACTCGATGCTCTGGTGGCAGCTGTAGGTCACTGAAGAGGAGGAGGAGGACACAAAAACGGTCATCTTGATGAACCTGAATGAGCTCCCTGGAGTCTGGGAGAGGGGAGTTGTAAAGTGGCCTAGTGTTGAGGGACCCGTGAGAGAACAGTGTCACGGGGGATTGTGGGAAGTGGGGGGCAGTAGCAAGCCAAGGGCCAAGAAGGATACAAGGGAATACGTGATAGAAGATGACAGAACGGAGGCCGAGCTCCTGAGGTTCTGGGAGTCACGATCCCATAGGCTTAGTGACAGGATTAGTGTCACCACCACTGAAGGTGACATTAGGAAGGAGCGGTGACCTCCTACAATAAGTGCAGCTTCTCAAAGTGCAGTTCCAGGCCACCAACTGGGAGCCACTCAGGGTGTGTGGAAGGGACAAGCCTCCAGGCTTTCCTCTACCGCAGAGCCCACACCTCAGGGTGTGTGATAAGCTGCATTTTAGCAAGGGCTGCCCTTTTCACTGGCGTCCTAAGGGTGGCCCAGTTTTAGAGCCGCCTGTGGAGAAACTGCATTAAGGATTGCCTTCAAGGAGAAGAAAGGAATGCAGAGCATCCAGAAGGAAGATAGAAGAAATAAGGCCAATGGCCTCCCTGTCTGTAGCTGTTACATTAACAATGAAAAGGCAACCAGTAATTGCCCAGGCTCCTCCCATGAGGTGAGCAGAAGCCAAGTTTGCAAACTGGGGAGTGAAAATGTGGGAAGGTGGAGTAAAGCATCAGCAACAAAATGCAGGGCGTTTTAACCTCAGGGATCAAAGGGAACAGGAAGGTGGTAATGCCAGCGAACAGTGCAACTAATGGACCCAGCTGAGATGGCTCAGAGTGTTGAGGATGGGGATGCATTGGAAGAGATGCGAGAGGCAGGCTAGGACCAGGGTGAGCATGGTGCAGAGGCCACAGGGTCTGCAGCCATTGCCCCTACCAGGGGGAGGGACTCAGTACTTGGCAGTGGCAAGAAAGGGTGGAGTCTTCTTTTTTGCTTTACACATTCGCAAGCCTGTGTAAATGCAACTCCATCCTGCCTCAAAGCTGAGCCTGCCAACCATGGTGCCACCACACTGGACCAGGACAGCTCCTGCGACACATGCACTCATGCGCACAGCGGCTGGAAGTCCATCAGCTACACTAGTTACTTATCCTTTCAATCTCTGTAAGCATCAGATACTTGACCAATGACCAAAATGATCAGCCTCGGCCACGTTGACCACCTCACCCAAATGTCAGGATACGCAGGAGGCAGAGGCACTCCACATACAGAGGAATGCCAAGACACTCCACAGTTCACTGTGGAGGCACTGAGGGGGTGGAGGCTCAGCATCTACAAGCACCTAACAGCAACAGAGCTTGGGATGAGTCAGAGAAGCAGGTCGTGAGCTTCCTTCGGTGGCTGGATAAGTGGGATTTGGATGCTACCCCTAAAGGTGATGAATTTCACAGAGAGTCTAGAATTATATTTCACATTATAATCTACACAGTAATAATGCCTCTCAATTTCCTCCAACTTTTCTTCCCTCCTATATGGGGAAGGGGACACGGGCAGGTATCTCAGAAACAATACTAAGAACACAGAGGCTACACAACAAAGTCAATCTGTCTGGAGAGTCTGGGAAAGCTCGTGCTCCTTGCTCCCTGCCAGCATCAGGATGTGGCCCTTGTGCTCTACAGAGCACCCTGACTCTCCTGGTTCCCGGGAATGCTGGACTGGGACTGAGTAGACCAGGAGGTCCTGGGGACGGCTCCACCTTGGCACCTTTACTGTGCTCAGAAGCTGGGGCACAAGGCTGTAGTGAGTCTACTCCTGGACCTTGCAAAGTCTGTTTTCTACTTTCACTGCCTGCAGGTCTCAAAAGCCCAAGTGACAGATGACAAATGACTCCCCAGCAGGTTACATGGTCAATGAATCCAGGAGAACATGACTGAAGTACAACCGTGACCACCTAGAAAACTCTGTATTCATCTCCTGAGGGATGCAGGGATCAAATGAAACCAAGTATATGCATGGTGACAGCTTCCTGGGATCTACATAGTCCCTGCACCACAGAGAACCAACCAGCACTACATCCTCAGTCACTAACTGTGAGACCAGGAGAAAGACACAATCCACAGAGCAGTGGAATTGACCATGAGGGCTGGGACACAACATGGATGGAAAACACAGAGCCCTTAAAAGGTCTAGGTGAGAGTCAAGATGCTAAGAATGACCAGGACATGTTTCACAGACACAGAACTCAGGCTACACTCAGAAGAGGCGATACTGAGATAACTGAAAGACTCAGGAAGAGCGCCTAAGAGATTTCTAAAAGACAGAAGAGGGAACAGCAGGGCTACTAATGCTATTTATTGGCTTGGGTCATCCTTGAGAATAGAAAACTTTTTGGCAAAGCTGTACAAACTCCACATGGGATTCTTCCCCACACTTGTGGGCTGTGGACTCATGCTGGCCACAGAAGGGAGTTCCTCAGCAGACTCTCCAATCCTACCTCACCTTCTGAGGTGACAGTAGCTGTGGAATCAGATCAGGAACATGGCAGCCTCAGCTGGGGAGGGAGCTGGGCCAATCAGGGAGTATGCTGGGACTCGTTTCCCTTCTCTGTCCAGCGGAGAGGAAGAAAGATGGGGTTGAATGGACTGAATTGTCGCCCTGCTCTTCTGAGTCTGACTTTGTCTTGTCGCTGACTACAGCCAGGCAGGCACCAAGTGGCTCCACTTCTCCACTCTCACGACAGCCTGCTGAGAAGACCTGGAAGAGTGGAGCAGGCCAGCTCCAAGGAGGGAGGCAGGGGAGCACACACCACGTGAGTGGACAGACAGATCACCTCAAGAAAATATACTTTAAGAGGGCTTGCTTTCCTTAAGGAAGCAATTCCCTTTTTTTTATTTTTTAATTTTATTTAGAAAGGCTAACTATATTCATTTGTCAACTTTTCTTCAGCTTTAAGGAAAATAGTTTAAAAAACATAAAGTTGTAAATACACTCAAGAGTAACTGCTATTAAACAGTTCTGAACAGGCAGAAAATGTACTTTTCTTTTACAGAAAATGTTCAATCTGTAATAGCAGCATAATTTATATATAGAAAAAAGCTGGCTTTGAAAATCCAGACTTTTGTATATATAAAACACATCCCTTCCTTCTCCTACCAAGAGCAGCACTGTGCACTCTGGAAAGCTTCTCCCCAGTACGGGACTCCACAGTAGGCAGCTCCCTCTGGTCCCCATCAGCAGTGGGCTCTCAGCCCAGCCTTCAGTCCAGTACCAGGGCAGAAAGGGCATTCAGGTCTTTCATGTATGGATGAGCTACCAGGATCTTCAGTTTCTGCTCAGAGTCAGGGAAGATCTTCAGCAGGGCCGCCCTCAGCTCGCTGGTCTCTGCGGAAGATCTCTGTGCTGGTACGAGAAGGTTCTGCTGCATACTGGGAACAGTGGCCAGGGGTGTAAAGTGGGGCTGCTGAGGAAGCCAAGGGCCTGAAAAGGCTCCCTGGTTCCGGGATGGAGGCTGGTAGCTGGTGTTGGCTACTTGGGTGTTGGGGCTCCAGAAGCCAGGATCAAACATGCCCACATCTGGCAGGGCATTGAGTAGTGGCTGCATGTCTCTGTGGATAAAGTGACCATGGAGAGAGCGGCAGTGAGAAACCCCGGAAAGCACGTAAGGCTGACACAGAGCATCTAGATGCTAGCTAGTTCCATGTTTTCTGAAGGCCAAAGAGCCAAGAGGATGTGAAATCAGCCCCCACAGAGTGGCTGACAGGGCACCCGGCACCATTTCCAGACCAATGAGGAAACAAGCACCTCTGGGATGGACAGCCCCTCCCAGTCTGCTATCTGAGGGTGGGCCAAGGTTGTTGCTTCTACAAGGTTCCTGCTCCTCTGGAGGGTTTTGTTCTAGGCAGTGTCAGCTGACTCGGGAGAGGAATCCCTCTGGGCAGAGGCAACTCCAAGAGGCTCCTGGAATCCCTGTCTCCAGTGAGGTCTGGGTGGGGCAAGTGTGCTCTGAATGTCTGTGCATGTGGTGTTGTCTAAGCATCCAGGGACACCTGTCCTGCTTAAAAACTCCCACCAATTTCATCTGTAGCTGAGAACTGGGGCTAACAGTGCCATCAATGTCAGAAGCTTGACAGCCTGCAAAAGCTCCATTAACATTAGCGGCATCCCCTCAGGAAGGAGTGACAGCTAGTGGCCACCAAGCACTTTGAAGACGACACTAGGTGAGAGGAAAAAGGACCACCAGGGCTGATCCTGCCACCAGGCTACTGAAGGAGTGGAACAGGTAGCAAAGAATTCACCTCTAGTTTGACCTGGAGCTCAGCTTAGCATGGGGCCCACACACAGCCTCAAACACAGGCCTTGAGGCCTAAAATCCTATGAGGATTTCCCATAGAAGATGTGGGGTTGAGGGGTTGGACTGGAAAAGCCTACAGCAGGCTGCCATGTCCTTGGCCCGAGTCAACGCCTCAAACAGGTGATAAAACCCAATGGCTCCCAGAGAATTGATACAAGGCCACGACTTTCCAAGTGTGTCAGTCTCCACTGAAGAAGATCCCTGGGTGAAAATCAACCCACTGCGGTGCATCACCAAGTTCAAACTGATGATCCCAGAGGCTCAGGCTACAAATGACCAACTAGCAGCCTTGAAAGATGGGACAGAGTCTATGTTCTCCTTTTAGGTACCTAGACCAACCCCATGCAAAAACCTGCCAGGAGATGCACAGAAATATAGCTCACTTTTGTTTTAAAACAAAGGTCTGGCTGATCTCTCAGCGCCAGGAGAGACAGCGTTGGGGTGAGTTTCTGGCCCCGCGGCACCAGCCTGGGAAGGGGAGCTCAGAGGTTCCTTGGCCCCCTATCCTTCTTGGGCTCTCTGCAGGGCCTCCACTCCCTGCATACCGCCTCTTTCTTCCTAGCCCACCCAGCTCCCATCCAGAACCCTCCCCACTTTGGCCCCACTGTCCTCTTTCGGCACATAACATCACCCAGCCCAGCCTGTCTGGGCACTGGGTCCGAATCCTCGGGGCACCCAAGTGGGCGGGAGTCCCTTTGTTTCTATCGCCTGCCTGCACCAAGCAGGGTAGGTGCTTTCTTTGCGACCTACCCAACCAGCACGGAGACCTGATCTCTCGGCGCCAGGAGAGCCAACGTTGGGGAGAGCCAGCGTTGAGTAGGCAAGGAGACCTGATCCGGTAAAAGAAGATCCATAAGGGAGCATTTGGAAGAAGAGATGGGCAGACGCCAAGGCAAGAATTCGCCCAACAAGCTGAAAAGCAACATGAAGCCACCAGAAACCAGCGACCTCACAACGGGAGGACATGAACACCTTCATCAAGAAGAAGTAGAAAAGATTGACTTCATGAAAGTGATTGATGCCCTTAAACAGCATGTAAAAAACGCCCTTATAGAAATGGATGAGAAATATAACAGAAAGTTTGAAGAATTGAATAAATCAGTGAATGATACCCTAGAAAACCAAGGAAAAACAATCAAACAGATAATGGAAACAGTTCGAGACTTGAAAACTGAAATGGAGGCAAAGAAGAAAACACAAACAGAGGGCCGGCTGGACATGGAAAATTTAAGTAAACAAACAGAGTCTACAGAAACAAGCATAACCAACAGAATACAAGAGTTAGAAGAAAGAATCTCAGATTCTGAAGATACCATAGAGAAAATAAACACACTGATCAAAGAAAACAGCAAGTCCACAAACTCTCATCACAAAATATTCAGGAAATATGGGACACAATAAAAAGACCAAAACAAAGGTCTGCCACTAGGTTAGCATGAAGGAGGCTGTGGTTAACAAGGTCACCTGAGAATTCTTACCGTAGACATAAACTCTACTCCTCAGTGCAGACAATAAAGCAAGCAGGCTTTCCCATGCAGAGATGGTAAACAGTAGCTGTGGGCCCTCACCCCACCCCCACAGCGGTTCCTGAGCAGGACACAAGTTCACGGCAGCACTGGACACTCAAAAGAAACGGCTGCACAAAGTGCATGGGAAAGCATCCCATAGAGATCCCGGGGAGCAGTGACCTACAAGTTAGCACCAGCTTGAAAACCTGCTTCTTCTGAGACCCTCATGAATGTCTGTGTGCTCTCAGAGTAAAATGAGAAGGATCCCCACACAGGGCAGGCCTAGACCCTGGCACATGAGGCAGAGGCAGAAGATCAGAGTTTGAGCTTAGCCTGCTGACTCAGAGGAAACAGTCTAAGGCAGGCAGGCAGGCAGGCAGGCAAAACAACACTGAAAAAGACCACAGTGAAGATTAGCCTTGGGCTGCTTCCGTGACTGGCTTCTATACGGGTCACACATCGCTAAGTCTAATTACGGCCTAGAAGACATTCAAATACCATTTCTAGTTTTCAAGGACAGCATTTGTTGCAAAGCACAACATTTGGTTAAAATAAAAAACCCTTTGACATACAAGGGGATACACAGAAATACCTAAGAAAGCCCTCCTTTCGAAGAAATTCATCTAGCCGAGGTCCGTTTCTTCCCAGAGGGTCATCAGGAACCATAAATATGTCCCCCACGAACGTGTACTGAAGCAGCCTACAACACAGAAAGTCACAGTGCTGACCATCAGTCCCCTTCATTGCTGAGGAAATGGAACATTCCTCACAGGAGACACCCCGTTTTGGGACAATGGTCAGCCTGAACATTCCCAGTGCTATCTTCCTGGAGAGGAAGCAACCCCACACACAAGTGAAAGCGTTCTAACTTCTGTTGTGGACACAGTCCTGTGAGAAGCTCCTCTCAGCTGCCTGCAAGTCTCATCCAGACGCCAGCCAGGTATTCTGTTTTCTACCAGATGAGAAAACACGATTAGAGACACTCAGCTTGGGACTCAGCAGGTGTGCCAAAGTGAAACCGAAAAAAAAAAGAACATGTTCATAGGCACACCTCTGATTTAGAAGAGAAAACATCGTCCTCAGCAGAGAAAGCCAAGGTTGACTCATCCAGGACAGGGACCTGGGCCTGCTCAGCAGGAAAGTCTTGCCAGAAACACGGAACACCGTGGGGTCTAGAAATAAAGAACTGACTGGGCATGGTGGTACATGATTTTAATCCCGCACTCCAGAGGCAGGAGAGCCTGTGACAGCTATGTAGTAAGCTCCTCTCTCGAATAAATGCATAAATAAAATTAAATTAAACTTAAAAAATTCTAGCATCTATGTCTGTGATGTACATTTTGGTATCCAAGTTGCTTCTGTGAGGTGAGGTCTAAAAGCAGTGGGTTGGTGGAGCCTCCTGTGTGCAGACTGGTGTCTAGCACAACAGTGTCTGAGAAGTTCAACAACTCATCAACTGTGCCCACCAGGTCAAACTTTCCTCCACCCATTACCAACACCTTCTTAGCAACACAGAGCTCAAATGTCTCAAGTAATTTACTTTCTTTTTTTTTTTTTTTTTAAATAATTTTTTTTTATTAAGAAAAGAAGAAAAAAAAAACATAAACAAAAAACAAGTTTCCACCTCCTCCCAGCCTCCCATTTCCCTCCCCCTCCTCCCACCCTTCTCCCCCTCCTCCCACCCTTCTACCCCTCCCCCCACTCCTCTCCCCCTCCCTCTCCAGTCCACAGAGCAGTCCAGGTTCCCTGCCCTGTGGTAAGTCCTAGGTCCTCCCCCCTCCGTCCATATCTAGGAAGGTGAACATCCAAACTGGCTAGGCTTCCACAAAGCCAGCACATTAAGTAGGATCAAAACCCCGTGCCATTGTCCTTGGCGTCTCATCAGCCCTCATTGTTCGCCATGTTCAGAGAGTCCGGTTTTATCCCATGCTTTTTCGGTCACAGTCCAGCTGGCCTTGGTGAGCTCCCAGTAGATCAGCTCCACTGTCTCAGTGGGTGGGTGCACGCCTCGTGGTCCCGACTTCTTTGCTCATGTTCTCCCTCCTTCTGCTCCTCATTGGGACCTTGGGAGCTCAGTCCAGTGCTCCAGTGTGGGTCTGTCTCTGTCTAAGTAATTTACTTTCATCCAAGAGTCTGTAGCCAAGGTTTGTCTTTCTTTTAAAATTTTAAAGTTACATTGTTTCCTTATTTGTGTACCCACAACTTTGGTTCTCTCTTTCCTGTGTGGTTCTGGAGACTTCCAGGTCCTCAGCCTTGGCACATCTCATCAGCCCAAGCTTTCAGAAACCCTGTTTGGACGTAGCAAGTTGTAAGTCTGAGACAAGAGCCGACTGTGAAATCCGAGAGACACGCGTGTCTAGATGTGTTGCTTACCCACACTGCCCTGCACATTCCCTATTTGCTTCAGATCTACGGCAGATCTGCCTTCTCCCTCAGCACAGCACAGCACTCTCGCTTCTTGTGGGTAGCGGCCGCTCGAGTGTCAAGTCTTCGGTGGGCTCATGGAAGCCAGCATTCACCGCTCGTCAGCAGTTCATGACTGACACGTTCACAGCGGCAGCAACAAGGAAAGCTGCATGCTAAACTCCTGGAAAACACCAGCCATGGAAACTAGACTTGCCCGAGCCCGCAGTCAGGTGCCCCCTCCCTCGGCATATTGTTTTTGTGCTACGCTCCTGCTGGAGTCACAGCACCCAGAGCTGACACTTGAGATGGCTGAGGTCCGGTCTTACAGGTGCTCCTAGGAGCCCCCTTCACCCTCTCCTGGGCCTACCACCCGGCAAGCAGCACACCAGACAAAATGCAGATCACAGCAAAGGAAAACAAGATTACCTTTTTGTAATAATTTCTCTCCAGGACACCGACTCAGTCATGAACTCTCTGAAGTTATCATTTGTTACAATTATGCCCCCAGTTTTGTCCGCTAAGTGTAGCAGGAACCTATGGTTACAAGAGAGTTCAACATGAGCAAACAGCACTCCTCTCTGAGAGAAGCTGGGCTATAATGAAATAAGAAAATAGCCACTTTAAACAAGGTTGGATACACAGAAGTCAGGTCCCGTCAACTGAAGATGGTTAAAACAATAAGCATCTCTGGAATTATCAGTGGGATTATAAAACAACTTTTTTCATGCAGTCTAGTTCTACAAAAAATAATTTCAACTGATTCCTACATTTTCTAGAACAGATCCACAGTAAACCGTGGTGACAATGCATGAAGACCTGAGCCGAGGACAAGCTAAAGGTAAGGGGCCTGTGAGATACTTCAGCTTTCAGTTGTCAGGGTTACTTGACAATCAGCTCTGCAAATTTTTAAGGAACAATCAATTTTCTGCTTTGCTTCAAGAAGACATCATCATTTTGGCCTAAAGATAGATAGATTCGCTCAATTACAAAAGAACGCGTGGTGACGAGGAGCCTTTTGTGATTTTAAACAAGTGGTAGCGCAGCTGGGATCAAACTAAGGGCCTGACAGGTGAGGCAAGCACAACTGGGGGCACAGTAAAGAAACCAAGATGGCTGCTCCGTGGTTGGATGGCTGGGGGAAGTTTTTACATTGTTGGATAAGAGAGAGAGAGCAGCCAGATGCATCTGGAAGGGTCCAGAGCAGAGAGAGAAAGCAGACTGGCTGTGGATACTTCTCTGGTGTGTTGGAGGGCAGGGGTCAGAGGAGACATGATGATAAAGAGAAGCTGAAAAGAATGAATATCGAGAGGGCCTTGTTTGCCATTCCAAGAGAGTGGTCCCCAGTCTGGAAGCATAGTGCAGGGGAGAGGGAATAGTGAGATTAGCAGGGGGCTCGGATATTCATAACACATACAAGTTACTAGGGACTGGAGGAGCCTAGAGGTTAGTTTTGGGCTTGCTATGTAACCACAGACATAGCCAAAGGAAGCGGCTCTTTCTGCTAGGCAGGAATGCTGCACATGGGAGCCTTCATCTCTGACAGCACTCCTTCTACAGTCCAGCTTAAGCAGACTGTATGACCATGACTGTCATTTTGGGGTCACCCACAACCTTCTGGAGAACTGGGAATCCCTTTGGACTTTATCACTAAACTCCTAGCCCTATGTGTGAGAGGGTCTTAACTGTCCTAGGTCAGCCTTGAACTAAAGATGACCCTGACCTTTTGGTGCTGGGATTTCAGGTGTGTTCCAGCACACTGGGTCTCATGTACACACAGTGATGAAAGAGAGTAAGAATAAAGTATTTTGTTTTGTTGCTGAAGATAACCCCTGTCTAAACCCTCTTAAAATATCTGTGAGTAGCCAGGCACAGCGGTGCACATCTTTAATCCCGGCACTTGGGAGGAAGAGGCTGGCAGCTATCTGTGAGCTTGAGCACAGCCTGGTCTACATAGTGAGTTCCAAGAACAGTCAGGGCTGCCTACTGAGAAACTATCTAAAATACAAGACAAAACAACAAACACTGTGAAAGGACTGGAAGTGTTATTTCTTGAGCACGAACAAAGACAGTGAAACCAAAGCCCCAATCACTGGACTCTAAGGTGCAGGCGGCCGCTCGTCTTCCCGGTGGCAGCGACTCCTAGGTGGGACTGAACACAACAGATTCCTAACTCTGAGGAACTTGGGGAAGTTAGATTTGTTTTTCTTTTCACCACCACCCTCACTCCCCAACAGGAACTCACAAATTCCAGGCTAGCTTAGAATTCACTATGTAACTGAGCATGACTTTGAATTCCTGATCCTCCTGCTTCTACCTCTAAAATGCTGGGATTACAGGTTGGAGCCACCACACTTGGCTAAGATCCTTGTTAATAAACATTTCAGTTCACTTCTAAAGGGCATGACTTGTCAACGGTGCTATGTGCATCAATAAAAGCAGATAGTGAGGCTTTCCACCAGGACACATAACTATACTCTCTGAAACCCAGAGAGCAACGTAAACCAAGAGGAAGTTTCATCTGCACGCCTGTTCCTGGGTTCGAATCCCTTGGCTGTGAGAAAAAAGCTGTGGTGGTAGAGGCCTGAAGGCTTTTCCTGTGCCTACTGACCTACTTGCTTTTCCACCCAAGCACTTCGGGGTTCCTGAGCCTGTGACGATGTGGACAAGAACTGCCCTTCCAGGACAGAGTCCCAGGAAAGCTCCCAACCCGTGTGCTGCCCTCCCTCAGCTCTCCTCACACGCTCTTTGACAGTACCTTGAATGCACCCCATCTAAGCTCATCTCTTTCCTATCGGTGAGGGAATGTCTGCAGTGCTCCTAGATCACCTCTTTCCCATTCCAGCACATAGCAGGGTGGGTAACACGTGAAGCACTGTCTTCACTGGAAGAGGTGGGAACACACAGAACAATGCAGAGAAGGGGCAGACAGCCCAAGGGCAACAGACACCATGCTTGTCACTACTTACACGACAACACCAGAATAGAGTTGCTAAAACTACATATCACTGGGGAAGCTTGGAATCCAAATTCCTCCTTTTGGGAGGTAGGAATCTCACCAGGTAACCCTGGCTGGCCTGAAATGCAGAGATTCACTCAGATCTGTGATTTACATAGTGAGTTATAGGACAGGGCGGCATGGTGAAACTCTGTCTCAAGGAGGAAAAAAAAGGATTAAAAAGGAAAACCAACTACATATATCTGCCTTTTCTCACTTCAGACATACTTTACTAAATTAAATAAAATCAAACTTAACACAATGGTGTCTTCTGTGCCATTCCTAACCCCATAGAATATATAAGCTTAGTAGTGACTTTGATCACGAGTTTTAAAACTGAGCAAGCAGGTCCCTTCAGAGTGCACACCAGCCTGGTGGCAGGCAGCTGGCTCCTCACCACCTCACTCCCACCTTGGGAAGGAAAACAGCCCTTCATACCTGTCATCATGAGAAGCGATCCGTTCTCCAAAGACCATCCGGGCAGGAGTTAAAGATAATATTCCAAGCTCCTGGAGCTTGGTTAAGAAGTGCAGTTCTGTTTGTGGAAGAAGTTGATGTGGGTTCAGTAAAGGCCATCTTTCCCAGATGTGTAAACAAATGGACGCAAACCCAAATACTTCACTTGGGGACTTGCAGAAAACCTCCTTTTCCTACTGACTCAATTTTACTAACTACCAGATCAAGTAGAAAAAAGAAAATCAATTAAGACTTATACTAAGACAAACCCTGCATAGGAACTGACTGGGTAGTTTTTAAACAAACAAACTAACAAATATTAAATTCATTTCCTCTTGAGACTAAACCATAAGCCTGTAATTTATCAATGCTGCCCTCAAGAACTCTTCCAAAGGTATATATGACAAGTAGAATACAGAAAGGGAAGTGACAAGAGTCCCCCAAAAGTGGGAGTGCAGAGGGGAAGAGCCCTCTAGATGCAGAGGCAGCAGCAGGAACAAACCGCTTTGCTCCAGTCAAGAAAGGCTAGCCTTCTCTCCCAATTAATCTCAGTTTTCTGTACAAGCCCGATTGTCCCAGGCACACTAGTGACAAGAGGGAGGGCTGATGCTCTTCTGTGGGAAAGCAGTCACAGGCAAGAGAAGCTGAGACCTAAGATTCCTGGGTTTGCATTTCCTGCCAAAGCAGCTGCCAGTGGCCTGAGCTGACCTGCCCACACTGGGGTTCCCTACCTTGCAGCTGCCCAGTGCACATGCAATAAGACTCTGCTAGGCAATGAGTGAATCTACCTAGCTCCTCCAAGACCTTCTGTTCTGACATCTCCCAGATAAAGAAAGCTGGAAACACTTGGAAGTGGAGTATACTGGACTGGCTTCAGCACTAGACTTCACTTCCTGTTTCTGAGCTGGACAAATGTCTCCCTCTGCCCCGTGCTACCTCTCCTTTCTAGGAGCCCTCGTGTGCTGTGCCTGCCACAGCCCCCCCCCCCCCCCATTTGTCTAGGATGACCCAGGACAAAAACAACCTTACGTTCTCTGGAGTATTTTACAACACAGTAAGTCCAAACTTCCTCGGGAAGGAGCGGAGGGCCAGAGCACTCGGGAAGGAGCGGAGGGCCAGAGCACTCGGGAAGGAGTGGAGGACCAGAGCAAAGGACCCAATGGCAAACAGAAATGATTCCTAATAAGCCCTCAGACTACTGGAAAGACGTTATCTGAAGACAGAAAACTGGCCAAGTAACTATTTTAAAGAAACATTATTTAAATATTCCAAAGCCCAACCTAGTGGAGACACCTAACTTCTCACAGCAATGCTAGCCTTCTACCCTTCCTAACCACTCCCTTTTATAACAACACTCGTCAGCTGAGAGACATGTCTATCCCAGGCCAGCCTCAGAAACTCTACTGTGTAGCCAAGGACGGCTCTGGCCCTCCACTCCTTCCCGAGTGCTCTGGTCCTCCACTCCTTCCCGAGTGCTCTGGCCCTCCACTCCTTCCCGAGTGCTCTGGTCCTCCACTCCTTCCCGAGTGCTCTGGTCCTCCACTCCTTCCCGAGTGCTCTGGCCCTCCGCTCCTTCCCGAGTGCTCTGGTCCTCCGCTCCTTCCCGAGTGCTCTGGTCCTCCGCTCCTTCCCGAGTGCTCTGGTCCTCCGCTCCTTCCCGGGTGCTCTGGCCCTCCGCTCCTTCCCAAGTGCTCTGGTCCTCCACTCCTTCCCTGGTGCATTACGGGTGTGCACCACCACACTGAGTTTTCAACTCGTATTTTACCAGACAGAAACTATTCAGAATTTCCTCATTCAATCTGTTGCCCACATGTGTGATTCTATTCTAAGTACCTTGTGTTGCAATTTGAAGCCAGTTCACTGAATACCTAACCAGAAATATGGAAAAGTCACTGGGCCTTACCTGTGACATTAGGATCATGCCTTGTTCTCCACTGTAGGACAAACACAGTGATGTTTCTGTTGCCAAGCTTCCAAAAATATTCAACTGCAATTGGATCCCACGGCAACTAAAGAACTTTTTCAGACCATGGCTGGAAGAAAGCAAGAACGATTTCATTAGGTAAAGGCATATGTAAAGCCTATGTTTACCACAGAGAAGAACAATCATACAACAGAAACAAGACAGACATGCTATTACTTTTCCAATGTGTTGTGTACTTTGCTGCTTTGCAGAGCCAAGTTAGACTTGCTGACTGAGTCCTTCCTGAGTCTTGGGTCTTTTCCTTGTATCTGACGAACTGAGTGCGTTGTTTTGGTGGAGGGCTGCAGGCTTGCTGTAAATATCTGTTTATTATCACAGGGGTTTCCAGTATAGTCTACCGGGAAAACTACTACTGTTTCTAACGTCTGTCTAATCATTGGCCTCTAAGAACCTTATCTTCTTTTTGTGAGATGGGGTCTCTGTAAGTCCATGAACTGACTTAAAGCATGTGATCCTCCTGCCTCAGCCCCCTGAAGTCTAACACACTGGGGTACACTGCACATCTAGCCTACTGTGACTCTGGAGTCATGTCCTGGGTGGGGCTCTGCTGCTGTGTGGGGTGCTGCTTGTTTACTATGTTAGGGATGAGACCCAGGTCCTCACATGAGCCAGGCTGGCATTCTTCACTGCCAGCGGACGTCTAAGAACTTGGGAATTTTGTCACAGATTTTGTGGCTCAGTAGCTGTGACAGTGCCTGTGCTATGTGCCTGCCTATGGCTGAGGACAGGAATTAAACATGTGACCCTGCTGTACTGTCACTGCCCAATGTCACTGCTACCTCTGGAGGTCTAGCTACCAGGTTTTTTTTTCTTTTTCTTTTATTTATTTATTTATTTATTTATTAATTAATTAAAGATTTCTATCTCTTCCCCGCCACCGCCTCCCATTTCCCTCCCCCTCCCCCAATCAAGTCCCCCTCCCTCATCAGCCCAAAGAGCAATCAGGGTTCCCTGCCCTGTGGGAAGTCCAAGGACCGCCCACCTCCATCCAGGTCTAGTAAGGTGAGCATCCAAACTACCTAGGCTCCCCCAAAGCCAGTATGTGCAGTAGGATCAAGAACCCATTGCAATTGTTCTTGAGTTCTCAGTAGTCCTCATTGTCTGCTATGTTCAGCGAGTCCGGTTTTATCCCAGGCTTTTTCAGACCCGGGCCAGCTGGCCTTGGTGAGTTCCCGATAGAACACCCCCATTGTCTCAGTGTGTGGGTGCACCCCTTGCGGTCCTTGCGTTCCTTGCTTGTACTCTCTCTCCTTCTGCTCCTGATTTGGGCCTTGAGATTTCTGTCCTGTGCTCCAATGTGGGTCTCTGTCTCTGTCTCCTTTCATTGCCTGATGAAGGTTAATATTCAGGAGGATGCCTATATGTTTTTCTCTGGGTTCACCTTCTTATTTAGCTTCTCTAGGATCACTAATTATAGGCTCAATGTCCTTTGTTTATGGCTAGAAACCAAATATGAGTGAGTACATCCCATGTTCCTCTTTTTGGGTCTGGCTTACCTCACTCAGGATAGTGTTTTCTATTTCCATCCATTTGCATGCAAAATTCAAGAAGTCCTTGTTTTTTACTGCTGAGTAGTATTCTAATATGTATATATTCCATACTTTCTTCATCCATTCTTCCATTGAAGGGCATCTAGGTTGTTTCCAGGTTCTGGATATTACGAACAATGCTGCTATGAACATAGTTGAGCATATACTTTTGTTGTATGATAGGGCATCTCTTGGGTATATTCAACTTCCTTAGCGATCAGGGAAATGCAAATCAAGACAACTTTAAGATACCATCTTACACCTGTCAGAATGGCTAAAATAAAAAACACCAATGATAGCCTTTGCTGGAGAGGTTGTGGAGAAAGGGGTACTCTCATCCATTGCTGGTGGGAATGCAAACTTGTGCAACCACTTTGGAAAGCAGTGTGGCGGTTTCTCAGGAAATTCGGGATCAACCTACCCCTGGACCCAGCAATGCCACTCTTGGGAATATACCCAAGAGAGGCCCTATCATACAACAAAAGTATATGCTCAACTATGTTCATAGCAGCATTGTTTGTAATAGCCAGAACCTGGAAACAACCTAGATGCCCTTCAATGGAAGAATGGATGAAGAAAGTATGGAATATATACGTATTAGAGTACTACTCAGCAGTGAAAAGCTCCCAGGTTTATAACTTAAAAAGAACAATTTGAAAACAAGATTCAAATAAAACTAACTAGAACCATGGGGACCATACTGAATGAATCAGAAAGCAGGGAAAAGGAAAACATGTAAGAAACGGGCCAGGACAGGTCAATCTGCAAAGGTTACCACGGTCGCTGTCCCACCACTCGGTTTCTGCCACAGCAATGTGACAACAGCCACACACAGCTGTAGATGGCAAATATGGCTGAGTTCCTAAGCACTTGAGACAGAAATGGGGCTGTATTTAGCCCAGTGTGTGACTTCTTGCTCAGAAGGCACACAAAAAATGTAGCTCCTAAGTCTGGCAGTACATTTCAAAACACAAAACCAGAGGCTGGATGGAGAGATGGCACATACTTTTTTCCCCTAACCCTAACCCTAAACCCTAAATCCTAACCCTAAACCCTAACCCTAACCCAAGATGGTGCATACTTAAGAGCACTTGCTGCTCTTGCAAACGGGCGTGGGTTTGATTCTTAGCACCTACGTGGCAGCTCACACCATCCGTAACTCCAGGGGATCAGAAGCCCTTTTCTGACCAGGCATGTATATGGCACACAATACACACACAGGCAAAATACTCATACACAATAAAAAAAAAATCAGCTGGCTATACCGCTCCACAGGCAAAAGTGCCACATGTGGACCATGGTGTGTGCACTCCCCCAACACAAACACACATAAACAAGTAACTAAGCAAATATGATTAAAAAACAAATAATCCTTTATTTTGTCTCAGGCAGTTAAATAGAGGTGGGGAAGAGATGTCCTTCCCACACACATCCTCTGCCAGGACTGACTTCCAGGTTCCCTCCACATTTGACAGATCAGAGAGAGCAGGCCAAGGCAAACTTCCCATAATACACACGCCAGCCAGCTCTTGCTCTTGGGTGGTCTTGTCCCTACCCATCCTGGTTGCTAAGTCTCCTTGTGTATCTTCCCTACCAGCCCCTCTGAGGGCTCAGTCTAGTCTCCTGTGAAGCCAGCCCTTCCTGTCTTCTCACTTCCTACCTTCTACTGTGCAGTGTATCAGAGTGGACTGTTGAGAGTGGGTGTGCTGGGGTAGACTCATTGCCCACACCTGGCCAAGGCCCTTCCACTCTCCCATAATATGATGCCAACCCTCTTTGCATTCCTGACCCTTGAGCGCAGAAAGGCTTGGATACACACAGGTAAGCTGCCAGGAGGTTGCAAAGAGTAGCCCACAAGTTCTCTTTGCTAGAGGATAAAGCCAATGCTTTTTCAGAGACCAATAAAGAAGAAACTATCAGCTGGGCAGTGGTGGCACATGCTTTAATCCCAGCACTCAAGAGGCAGAGGCAGGCCTAGGTCTCTGTGAATTCGAGTCCCGCCTGGTCTACAGAGCAAGTTCCAGGATAGCCAGGGCTACACAAAGAAACCCTGTGTTGACAAACCAAAAAGAAAAAAAGAAAAGAAACTATGAGATCTTATCCCAGAAAACACATGCATGCAAACAAACCCATGGCTGATATAGGAAGGATGAACCATACCAGTATGACTTGTTACTGATGAAAAAGAGGGAGTAAAAAAACAAATAATCCTTTATTTTGTCTCAGGCAGTTAAATAGAGGTGGGGAAGAGATGTCCTTCCCACACACATCCTCTGCCAGGACTGACTTCCTGTTCTCAAAGAATAAGTACTCTAATTCTTGTTCTTAAAGAATAAGTACTCTAATTGTTTAATACTAAGGATAGGCCTGGAGTTAAGGCAGCTGTTTTTTTGTTTGTTTGGTTGGTTTTTGCCCCTCTCTCAAGATAGGGTTTCTCTGTGGAGGTTTGGAGCCTGTCCTGGAACTCACTCTGTAGACCAGGCTGGCCTCGAACTCACAGAGCTGCCCTGCCAGTTCTAACATGAAGATCCTAAAGAAAGAGCACACATGCACACAGGATCCAGTGAACCTGCTTGTCCTCCTCTTCTTAAATCTTCAGCTGACCACACAGCAGGAATGGATGGGGACAGAGCTCCACTTGCGGTCAATGAAGAAAAGGAAGCCAAAGCAGATGGCAGGAATTCTGCTACCCTGGGTATCTACATTTAAAGCAACAGTAGAACAAGTAGTTTGCTGTCAGAAGCACCAAGGCTGCACCAGTTTTCAGTGCTCTCTACAGAAGATCACAGCATTTTCACTGTGAAGACTCCACAGTTAAACAGTGCTTCCAGGTTCGGCCTAGAGAATATATAGATTTATCTAGAAAATAAAACTACAGAAAAAAGAAATGAGGTTTGGGGTGTGACCAATATAGCATATGTGTGTGATCTGAGTTGAAGTCTCAGCCCCAGGAAGGGGGGAAAAGAAGAACCAAACTGCTGTATAATGTTAGACAGTGCAGTAAGAACTCTTCTTTTAAGCCTGATGAAGTGCGTTTATCCTTGCTGCTTCTGGTCTCTATAATCGAGACAGGGAAGTGCCAACTAGTGGTCTACCCTGACCTAGAGAACATATATTTACAGTGCACAGACTAATACCTTCTATTTTAGGGACTCCAAATAGACCCCAGCCTCACATGTAGGAAAACACTGAGCCTGGAGGATAGGTGTGTCAGCTCTTCAGGGAGATCTGAACTCCTGCCCCAGGCCTCTGGAGACAAGTTAAATTACCTGGCTATTTCTCACATTCTAGCAGTCAGCCCACATGTTTCAAACAGAGGAGAGCTGGGTGACACCAGCTAGCTAGCAGTGGCTGTCAAGCCAGACAGGGCAGTGCAGGGAAATACTGTGGGAAGCCCTTTCTGAATTAGCCAGAAAAGCACAATTTCCTTCTAGCTTCCAGCTCATAAAATAGCCGTGGAAGCTGCTCCAGAGAGACGAGCAAGCACAGTGGACACATGCGCAGTTCTGACAAGCGAACG